TGAAGTCCACACGTCTTAAAGCTCTCAAGTTTGAAGACCCCTGAATTATACCATCTATCTGTCTGTCTGTCTGTCTGTCATCTCTCCATCCATCCATCGATCCATCCATCTATCATCTATTACAAGGGACTTCAAACTTGACAGCTTTAAGACGTGTGGACTTCACCTCCCAGAATTCCTGAGCTAACATGACTGCAGGAGGAATTCTGGGAGTTGAAGTCCACACGTCTTAAAGCTCTCAAGTTTGAAGGCCCCTGTCTTAGGCTAACAAAGAGAAGGTCTAACAGTTACATACATGATGGCATCTTCCAACATTTGAGGGGCTGCCACAGAAGGGAGGGGGGTCAATCTCTTCTCCAAAGTCCCCGAAGGCCAGACAAGGAACAATGGAAGGAAACTGAACAAGGAGAGATTCAACCCGGAAACAAGGAGAAATTTTCTGAACAATCAGCCCATGGAACAGGAGTTGCCTTCGGAAGTGGTGGGAGCTTCATCCCTGGAGGCTTTCAAGAAGAGACTGGGCTGCCATCTGTCAGAAATAGTGTAGGGTCTGCTTGGGCAGGGGGTTGGACTAGATGACCTACAAGGTCCCTTCCAACTCTGCTTAGAAGCAATGGATGGAAACTAACCCAAAGAGAGAAGCAATCTAAAACTAAGGAGAAATTTCCTGATAGGTAGGAACAATTAATCAGTGGAACCGCTTGCCACTAGAAGTTGTAAATGCTCCAATACTGGAAGTTTTTAAGAAGGGATTGGATAACCACTTGTCTGGAATGCTACAGCCACAACGTACGACCACAACTGAGCCCAACACTTCTACTATTAAGCGAGACATTTGTAAGTGAGTTTTGCCCCCATTTTATGACCTTCCTTGCCATAATTGTTAAGTGAATCAGTGCAGTTGTTAAGTTAGTAACACGGTTATTAAATTAATTCTGGCTTCCCCATGGACTTTGCTTGTCGGGAGGTTGGCAAGCAGGATAACAGATAATCAGAGTTGGAAGGGACATTGTGGGTCATCTAGTCCAACCCCCGCCCAAGCGGGAGACCCTACACCATTTCTGACAGGTGGAGACAGGAGAGCAGCCTTCCAATATTTGAGGGGCTGCCCCAGAGAGGAGGAAGGGGGTCAAGCTATTTTCCAAGGCCTCCGAAGGCTGAACAAGGAGAGATTCAACCTGGAAATAAGGAGAAACTTTCTGACAGTGAGAACAATCAACCCATGGAACAGAAGTTGCCCTCGGAAGTGGTGGGAGCTTCATCACTTGAGACTTTGAAGAAGAGACTGGACTCCCATCTGTCAGAAGAGATTGGACTGCCATCTGCCATCTGTGTAGGCTGTCCTGTTTGGGCGGGGGGATTAGTCTAGATGACCTACAAGGTCCCTTCCAGCTCTGTTAACCTGTACCTACCTACGTCCTCTCTTCTAGTATGTCTTTGAAGATCCTGCTGGTTTGCAATAAAGGGGCTTTCCTTGCCTTCGCCTCCACCGAACACAATATTTTTGGTGAATTTTAGATGTGTTTCCTCCTTTCCTCTTCTCTCCAAAGGTGGAATGAAGCTGCCACCTACTGTTTGCAGGGAGCAAATGCACTCTTGGCAAAAGTACATAGAACGTACAAAAATAGGGTTGGGAGGGACCTTGGAGGTCTTCTAGTCCAGCCCCCTGCTCAAGCAGGAGATCAGAGGTCCCCAAACTTGGCCACTTTACGACTTGTGGACTTCAACTCCCAGAATTCTCCAGTCAGCAAAACCTCACTTAACGACCGTGTGACTAATGTGGCTGGAGAATTCTAGGAGTTGAAGTCCACATGTCTTAAAGTGGCCAAGTTTGGGGACCTCTGATTTATGCACAGTTTGCTTTTTTGAGAGGCATTTCAGAGCTTCGGTTGCATCATCGCCTTCCGCCATCTTGTCTTTTTGGAACATCCCCAGGTTGCGAGAGCAAACCAGCTTCAGAATCAGAATAGAGCTGGAAGGGACCTTGGAGGTCTTCTAGTCCAGCCCCCTGCTCAAGCAGGAGATCCTATGCCCGTGATGGCGAACCTATGCCACACGTTTCAGAAGTGGCACGCAGAGTCATTTTCCCCTGGTACGCGAGAGCGTGCCCTGAAGAGCCCCACTGCACAAGCGCACGCCGCCATCCGACAGCTGATTGTCGAGTATCTGGCACGCATGTGTGTGGGAGACATGCGCGCAGTATTATGATATGTACGGAATAACCCTTGAGTAACAAGGATATGCACATGGAAACATTTATGAGAATAGTTATGAATAATTATCCAGCCACACACAGCCATACACTGCACTGAGTTAAAGTTTACTTTAAGCAATAGCACAGTCCAATAAACAGTCCAGGTCATATACGGTTAACAGTCCAAAGAATATCCAACTACAAAGTCTTCTTACCAGTTGCCTTAGTCATTTACAGTAAACAAAGATATCAAAGTATAAGCACAGCATAAATACAACAGGGAACCTTAGATAGCAACAGAATGTCAGAGAGAGAGAGGATGTCAGAGCAAGCTATGATCTCTAGCTCCCTCTTATGGTAATTTGTAATATAATCAACCAATTGGAATATAGTATAAATCAATACAGTGATTTTGTCTTAAAGCTACAAAACATACATTGTTGGTTTATATATTGCCAACCCAACTAATTGGTGGACAGATTCCTAACACTCAGCATGCATTGCCTTCTGGGTGCTGGCATGCAAGCGTGAGTACACAAGTGCGTGTGCAATTATTGGCACAGGAGCCGGAAAAGGTTTGCCACCACTGTCCACTCTTCTTAAAGACCTCCAGTGCAGGGGTGGGATTCAAATATTTTAACAACCGGTTCTGTGAACGTGG